CGGCTGCCTTGCGAATGCTCCCGCGAACAGTAGGCGTCGTTGTCGGATCGTGGCTTCAACGCTCTGGCATTCGACCCTTTTCAGCGTCTGGGCGTAAGAGAGCTGCCGGTAGGTGTCTTTCTTGCGCTTGTACCCGAGGAGCAGTCGGTGGTGTATCGACCGCAGCGTCTGATAGTGGCCGCTGAGTGGTGACCATGTCATGCAGCCGTACAGCAGTGCCTCCATCACTTCCGCCTGGAGCAGGCGGATCTTGAGTCAGAATGGCGCTTGCGGTCTATCGAAGAGCTCCCGGCCATATCGCCTGAGGTGCGCCCACGCTCCTCTGCTCCTGTAGTTGATCTCCCGGGTGAGGTCGCCATGTTCGTTGACGAGGCCACCGAGGCACCGGAAATCGGTCGTCTGGGCGTATTTCTGTCCCGCGGCTTCGATGGTCAGTGGTGGAGGCGGCGGGCTGTGATGTTGTAGTCGGTTGTCCTTTGCGCGCATCAGGAGCGTCTCCGTCTTCTTCTCCGACACCGTTAGCTCGAACCCCCCGAACACCTCAACAATGATGGTCATCATTCTCGCCAGCCCTTCNGATAGCACACATCCTTGTCGCACGCCCTGTGTCACGAAGAACCAGTCCGATAGTTCTCCGTCGTCCATGCGCACCCGGGCCCGCATTCCATCGTGGAATTGGCGGATGACTTCGATCAGCTTCGCAGGAATCCCGGCCCTGGCCAGCACCTTCCGTAGCATCTCTCGGTCCACCGAATCATACGCCTTGTTCAAGTCGACGAAGTACATGTTGAGCGGTATTTTCTTTCCCCGCCCCAGCTCCTGGAGGCGGCGCACGACGAACAGCATGTCGACGGTGGATCGCCCGAGTCGAAATCCGCACTGTTCCTCCGGAGGATGTTGTTGGCTTCGCAGAAGGCACTTAGACGATTGGTGATGATCTTGATGGGGCCCTTGCCTACGTGAGATAGTAGCGGAATCCCCCTGTAGTTGTTACAGTTGGACCAGTCACCCTTCTTGTACAGCACCTTGATGACCCTTCCACTCTCGCGGAATATCTCCTCCGTTCCACACCTTGACGAGGATGGTATGGAGGTATCCCAGGACGAAGGGTTCGTCGTCATCGATCTTGAGCAACTCGGCAGGGAGGGAGTCATGGCCGGGTGCCATCCAGTTCTTGAGGCCTTCCGTTGCCCGCGCCACCTCCTCGAGTTCTGGCACATCTCCCAACCGTTGAGGGTCACGTGTCGCTGGCCGCTGCGTCACTCGTTCGATGATGTCTGGGTTCAGGGCGGGGAACTTGGTGTTGAGTAGGGTGCTAAAGAATCTCGCCCACCGCTGGAGGATGTCGTCCCTGTTCCGGAGCAACACGCCATTCTCATCCGCGACGAACTGCTGTCCCCCCGCTTGTCTCCCGCTGAGGCCCACTGATCTCTTGAGGTGTTGGTACGGTCCTCGCATGTCGCGATCTTTGTAGATTTCTTCGAGCTCGGTCACATATCCGTCCAGGTGGGCATAAATGCCCGTTTCGACTGCTGTAGCCACTCCCTTACACGTTGCTTTGAGAACCCTCCACGTCGCTGAGTTCCAGTTGCCCCAAATCGCCCGGCGCGCTTCCCGGCGTTTGGTAAGGGCCTGCTCCAGCGCTGCTCGCGTCTCTGGGGTCTCAC